TGGTAATGCAAGCTATCTTTGTTGGAAAAAAATCCAAAAACGCTCCAGAATAGGCCCAAAGCAATTCGTCTCTAGTCAACTATCTACACAATAAATAAAAGCCAAATGAGAAAACTTGTTGCCCCATTTCAAATTTCCTGCATCCAGAGTGAAAGTAGGAAGGACATATTGGTCTTCACAATTACTTTTTTTTATTCATTAAAAAGACACTTACTAGGATTCGAACCATGACCACTTTAAAGAAAAACAAAGATCATAACCAATCACACTAAGTACATTTGTTTTATCTTTTTAAATTAAAAACATATCATCGCAGAGAGGAAAAAACCCTCCCCCATTTTAAATTCCCTGCTCCATGAGCGTTTGTAGGAAGGGTAGAATAGGGAGTGTCAATTTTTTTCTTTTTCCTTTGTGGAACGGGCCAACTTACCGTACACATGAGGATTTAAACGGGTCCAGGAGTGTCAATTTTTTTCTTTAAGTCCTTTTATTTCTCCGTGGTGGTAAAATATATATGAAAAGGCAAAAACAATACTCCTTTTATTGCTAAAAAGAAAAAAATTTAACAATAAAATAATGCATGAATTCTAATGGGCTAACCGCTAATCATAAAATAAAAGAGTTGAATGAGCCTAACCTACACGGGATTTGACCATCAAGTAAAACAAATGAACAGCATGGGTTTGTCATTCTAAAACAAGCTATTTTCTCTAGCATAATATATATTATGCTATTATTTTATATCTTAGTGGCTAAAATATAATGTATTTTAAAGTTATTCAATGGTTCAACCTCGACCAACCCAATTAGTCCAATTTTTATCATCTCAAATATATATTATGTAATTATTTGATATCATAATGATTAAATTATAGTGTATATTATAGCGAATCGTTTGGTATTTGTTACTGAAAAACTAAACAGAAAGATCTATTTGGTTATTTTTAACTTTAAAACGATCCTAAACATTTTCAATTTTCTTTCGAAATTCTATAGTTTTATTCTCGAATCAGTGATGTGCAAATGGCGAATTGCAGTAATCTCTTTTCTTTCATTATTTTTTATTTTCAAATAGAAAGTTTAAAAGTAAAGAATAATTAGAGTTTGGCATGAGTCGGTCAAACATGCTGAATTTCAAGTTTTGACCCATTTTTATCAAGTCTAATTTATAATCACATGGTTCCCTGATACCCGATAAAAATCTCAATCCAAACCAGTTTGGCAGGTGAGTCCGTGTTTACCACCATTTTCTAGGGATACAGGAACGGTGGTTCCTATCCCAAATCGTGTTGTTCATTCTTAATTTCTTTAGATTTTATCATGGCTTGGCAAAAAACCAGAAAGCACAATGATGACAAGATGAAAGATTTATAAATCAAATTAATCGGCCAACGGGCCGAGTAAAAGCTAGCAACGATTGTGAGATGCTCATTTCCCGACAATCGACAGGATATGCGATTTTTTATTCGATTTTCTGGAATTTGGTTTCTATAAAACTTATTTCACCTCATCATATTACCAGAAACAATATTGTTTCACAAGGTAACAGGTAGGGATGGCAATCAAACCCATGGCCGCGGGTATCCGACCGCCCCCGACCCAGTCAACGCGGGGAATCCCCGCTTTGACCGGGTATGGGGCGGGTATGGGTAAAACCCGCAAAAAGTTTGATGGGTATGGGGCGGGTATGGTTTTAGCCTCCCCCGAACCATACCCATCCCCATACCCGCTCCACCAAGATAATTTCTTCATATATAAAAAAAATATGTGCATCAAATTATAATCTATCAATGATGATGAGGATAACTTGAGAAAATAAATAGTAGAAATGCAATTGGTGACCACCTTAATCAAAATCTAATTCATTTCTCTCAATTCTCATTTCACTCTTTCACTTTCTCCCTTGTCAACAAGATTATGTTAGTTAATTATTATTTAGTAGATGTATCAGAGTTAGAACATAATAATTTGAAAAATATTATACTCTATATTATGTATAAATGGATATTTTAGGATCATAATCTTTGAACCATATTAAAAAAATGACCGTGTTTTGTTGACTTCATGATATAATATGTTCGTTTAAAATTATAATTAGAACTTTTCTTGTAAGTTTAGGTATAATAATGTTGAATGTACGGGTATGGGTATTACCCATGGGTGCCCGAAACCCACGGGTATGGGGATGGGTTTGCAAAACATTCCCCCGCATGGGTATGGGGCGGGTATGGGTTTGGATATTTGAAGATGGGTATGGGGATGGTTTAAGCAAACCCGCCCCAAACCCGCCCCATTGCCATCCCTAGTAACAGGTAGTTGATTTTGGTTCATAAAGCTGATTTTTTATTCGTTGCATCATTTATGTCTCTTTCCTCCTAAAATTAACTATTTTTATCACGTGTTTTCCAAAAAAAAACCTATACAAAATAAGCTATATACCCTATTATATTATCAAATTTAATACTTCACCTTCCCGGTCAAATGGCCCGCCCACGCTAGTTGCTCAATAATTCCCCGATCCAATATATTTCCTCCCCCGGACTTCTCTCTGCTAGCTGCTTCTTGTATATCGACCCGGTCCAAGTAATTAAAGAATGGCTCTTTGTGCAATTTGGCCTACGGGAATTAAACCTCTTCGTGCCCATGGAAGGAAATATATGGAACTGGATCTGTGTCCTACACTTGGGCCTGAAGTCTAATTTGTTAGCTGCAAGCTTGTAGTGTTGGATCAGGAAAGAATTGGCTCAATTAAGTTTCTGCTTTCTTTGTACGCTTCGCTATCACACTTTTGCATGTGCAGCTGCAATCTGCCCGTTCTGTCATTTTCTCATTTTTTCCACCTGAGAACAAATAAAATATTTTGCACTCAAAGGTAATTGTTATATAACCATTTCAGGCTTAGTTGGACCAACAAACAAGCATTATATGACAATCTTTGGCGTCATTGTCGGGGACTGCCATATATACCTTATTTTTATTGATTTTTAGTGAGTGGACGGTTTTGGTCTGGGTGTTAGTGCGCAAGTGAATTTTCAAGTTTATCCTTTTCGTGCATGCCTAGGAGGACGACCGACAATTTACTGTCACTAGATCCAAAGATATAGAAGACTTGCCGACAGAACAGGTTGCAAGTCAAGTTAGGGAAGCAACCAACCACAACTCATAGGCCTTCCCTAACCAGGAATCGTCAACAGAGAGGGCAGACTTCATCACCTGTCGTCCCGCCACCATCGCGCGACATCAAGCTTGTCATCATGGTAGAGGATGATCATTCGATCAGAGCTCGCTTGAATCGAAGGGCTGGAGCCCGAGCTTCATGTGTTGTCATTCCGGTTGGGGATGCAACCATGGAGATTACACGAGCATTCATCAACATGATCACCAATGGGTATACTTTCTTCGGGGCTAGCAATGAGGATCCTCATGAACATCTTCACCGGTTCGCAAGCATATATGAATTAATCTTGATATGATAGGTAGTGAGTCCCGGTGTTTCTCCTAGAGCTTTCTACCATTGATTTCAACCCAACAATTTTAGTTGCTTGTTTTGTTTAATTATTAAATAGTAGTTTCATCACTAAAATCATTTTCACCTATAATTTGCTCCACATAATTGATATAATATAAGCTTGTACCAGTCCTTGAGAGACGATACCCGGACTTCCGGTTTACTACGAGATAGGAATTAGGCATATACGTTTTTGCCCTATCACCTCCTCAAATGAAAGCCATTCAACTTATAAGGGCTTTCGTTTGCACATGTCATGAATACAAGAATACATGTGCTTCACAAATGAGGTTATCGAAATTCGAGCACAAGACCTCTCAACCACAAAAGACTCTGATATCATTTCAAGAACCAATCGATCCCAATAACTCGAATTGTTGAAAAGGGTTCAATAATAAATTGTTATATCACTCACTAAGAAGTAAAAAGTAAAAATCCACGAAATTGAAACATGAAAACCCCTCAAGCGTGTAACAAAATCTAACAAATCGTCATCATAATTAAATTACAAGGATCAAGAAAGCAAAACAAATCTGGAACCAACAAACCCTGCCTTGTGTACAACGCTAGAAATTAGAAGAAATCCACGCCACATACAGAGAAGAACTGACTGACATCTAACGGACGGTCACATATATTACATGAATAATATCATGACAACCACAACTACATTAATTATTAATTATTATTCACAACCCCTATCTTCAGCAGTTCAGCACCCTCCATGCATCAGCCGGACGCCACCTGTCCACGTAACTTTGCAAAGCAAAACAAATACGTAAAGTCAAACAGTCAATTTACCAGGCTGATGATGGAGGCAGATGATGTATTCATGGATCAAGCTATATATAAATAAATAAATATCCCCATGAGTATAAAGTGAGCTTGTCGGGTTGAAGCGGGTTGCACTTTTTGGTCTTTCCCCATTTTAGTTTTTGTTTCTTTATTTTTATGTTTGGGTCGATTGGTTTAGTTGGGGTCGTAGGCTCTGATACCAAAAAATTCTACGATTTCAAATTCCTAAATTTCTTTGTTTCATGCCAAAAGGTCTTGTTCTTTCAAAAGTCTCAAGCGTCTCTTCATTTTCAAAAGTCTTAATTGTTCCTTCATTTTCTTTGGTTCAAAAAGTCTACTAAAGAGTCTAATCATTCTTTCTTTTTCTTTATTTTCTGCAACAAGTCTCATTCTTTCTTTTTCTTTCATGGAATGGTCCAAATAAAGGTGGTTAATTTTCATTTTGTTGTTTTTGTTTATCTATTTTCTAGTTTCTGTTTTATTTTGTTTAGACTAGTTATTATATCGGTGATTAATTCAGTTTTAGATACGGCTTCCTCTAATGTTTCTGAATTTTCGATAGACATCTGTTCTTCTACAATATCTGATACGAAGTGAGATAATTCTAATGTAACCGTATTAATGTCGTCTACTGATGTAAGGTCTATTGCATCTATTTCATCTATCAATTTATTTATGTACTGAACGTTAGGAATCTTTACAATTTTTCACTCATTTCTACGATTAGTTCTTGTAACTTTTTTATTTCACTAGTATTATCATTTTGATGAAGTATAGTTATGTTTTTTATTTCCTTGTTTTCTTCTTTTTCCTTTTCCTTCTCCTTATCGGTTAGTCTCATGGAAGAGACTCTCTCATCTACACTTATTCTTGGATGATCGTAATTTGATTTTATTACTTTTAGAGGAGATTCTAATTGAATTAATGGTTTGAATAAATCTTCTATGGTGATGACTTTTTTGTCTCTAAATGCTAGACTATGATGACTATTGGTTAGTGCATAGTTTATCTGGTATGTTACTGAAAAAGGTTTACTATTTTCATTCATAAAAATTTTTCTTTTCAATTCATACTTTATAATAATGGAAGAGTCGAGATTCCCATCTGTTAAAGTAATTCCTTGTTGTAAATTAATATCGAATTTGATTATTCCTACTCCTAGATTTCCCTTTCCTTTTGCAATAGTACTCTCTTCTCTATTGATGAGTCGATCATCTCTTATTTCTAGTTCTATAGGTGCACTTATCCCTGTTTTCATAGTAGATTTTAGAATGATTTGTATCGTGCTAATGTGAATGTAAGCTATTTTACTTCTTTCTTCCTGTTGTAACTTGGATAATTTTTTCCTAATTTGTTCCCTATTTATTATTTGAATTAGGAAATCTCCCTTAGTTTGCTCTATTGGTACTGTCGATTCTCCTATCATTTTTCCATATTTAATTATATTTTTCCTATCAAATAGTTTGGTTAAAAAAGATTTAGTAATAAAATTTTGCGTTTCTGATAAGGTAAATTAGCTTGTTCCTTAATTTTCTTGACATCTAATATTCCATCTAGAAAATAATTTTCTTCCTCATTTTTACTTAAATAATCAAAGTAACTGTTACTGCTATTGGGGTTATCCGACATACCTGATTGTTGTTTAGGTTGATTGATGCAACTTTTTGCTATTGAACGTCCCCATGATGGTGTAGTGCGAAGGAGGCTGATTGCTTATGATCGTTGAAATGGTGTTGGAGAATTCTTTGTGGTGTTAATGGTTGGTGTATAGTTTTTTATGGATAGGTGGTAGTGGATACGAGCATTTCCAGAGTATTATCTCAAACGCTCTGTGCCGAAGCACCAAGACTACACTTAGTCTCTTGAGAGAGAAATCTCAAACTTTTATTCTACTTTGTCCCCTTATGAGGTTCAGGTGTACATATTTATAGATGCAGTGGCTTTGCCTTCTTACATATGTACTTACATCACTCTCTACTAAGAGGAGAAAACCAAACACACGTTATAGACAACATTATTGATCAAAAGAGAAAACAGACACACTTCTTTAGTCATTTTCTTGTTGATGTGTCATCTTTGTCATCTTCTCATTTAGTCATTTTCCTCCTTGGCTTTTTATCTTTCTCCTTTGGTGGGTGGACGAGTCGTCCACTAATTTTTTGTCTTCTTGGTGGATCACATTTCTTTTATTCCATTACTGTTACTAGTGGAGGTAGTCATATCTGCAGCACAGTGGGTGCATATGTGATCCTCGTGTAACTGCAATAATTTACAAAGTTGTTGTTTTTGTTATGACGCTAGCGGGGCTAACGTTCCTTCTAGATTGATAAAATCCTTGGCTAAATCTGTGATAAATCCCCATTCTTTCGCTGTGATCAGGTTTTTAGAATTGTTGATGATGATCTTGTTGGTGCTGGTATAATTGACTTTAATATTATCTGTTGGATTAAGATAATATAGGGCCTGACTTACTGAATATAATGATCTGACTTGATAGTCTTCTGGTATCCTGGCTGGCTCTAATTCATCTCTGGTCGGATAGTTGCCATTAGATACTCCCATCTTGATGATTGCTTTTGATGGAACGGTCATTTCTTCTTTGTTAAATACCTGATAACTGGATGTGTATCGTAGATAGATTTCTCTACCCTTAGCGAATGAGTCTAGATACCTTTTTACGACTGTCTTGGACTTTGTTGGAAATTCGTCGAAGATATGGGTCTTCTGTGTGTATATTGTGTCGATTAATCCATATTGATGGAGAGCAGATAGTGTTGTTGGTGCGATTTTATCTGTGATGATGACTGCTCTTGGTCCTCCCTTAAAGTTTGGGTAGAAGCCTATGGTAGTGTGAATTTCCTTGTAATTGAGAAGATCTTCCCAGCATTGTTGGAATTTTTGAAGTGTAGGTTTATTGAATTCTTCGTTTTGCTTCGTGGTTGGAATATCCTTAATGCTGATGCTTGGTATCTTCATCACTAATCTTTATTGTGGAGTGGCTGACTCTGTCTTCTGTTTCATAGCAATTGCCTTGTATGATTCTTTTAATGCCTGTTTTGCTTCTTCTTTGGTTGAAAATGATTGGTGTTTGATGTTGTATCTCGTAACATGGTGAGATACTATTGCCCAGTTGTTATAAAGTCCCCGAAAAGGTCCGTCATAAATAACATACCATTTTCCCTTCTTTGATTTTCTTTCGCCTTCTTCATTTTTCTCGTCTACTTCCACCATTTTATAACATCATCTCCGTATAGGCTTGTTTTCATAGTAGCATCTCACCATTAACACCTTGTTTTCAAAGAAGGGAAAATGGTATGTTATTTACGACGGACCTTTTCGGGGACTCTATAACAACTGGGCAGTAGTATCTCACCATGTTACGGGATACAACATCAAATACCAATCATTTTCAACCAAAGAAGAAGCAGAACATGCATTAAAAGAATCATACAAGGCAATTGCTATGAAACAGAAGATAGAGTCTGGCACTCCACAACAAAGATTAGGTATGAAGATACCAAGCATCAGCATTAAGGATATTCCAACCACGAAGCAAAATGAAGAATTCAATAGACCTACACTTCAAAAATTTCAACAATGTTGGGAAGATCTACTCAATTACAAGGAAATTCACACTACCATGGGCTTCTACCCAACCTTTAAGGGAGGACCAAGAGAAGTCATCATCACAGATAAAATCGCACCAACAACACTATCTGCTCTCCATCAATATGGACACAGATATACACACAGAAGACCCATATCTTCGACGAATTTCCAACAAAGTCCAAGACAGTCGTAAAAAGCAATCATCAAGATGTGAGTATCTAATGACAACTATCCGACCAGAGATGAATTAGAGCCAGCCAGGATACTAGAAGACTATCAAGTCAGATCATTATATTCAGTAAGTCAGGCCCTATATTATCTTAACCCAACAGATAATATTAAAGTCAATTATACCAGCACCAACAAGATCATCATCAGCAATTCTAAAAACCAGATCACAGCGGAAGAACGGGGATTTATC